AGAGGAGAAATAGAATGTGGAAACTGGTCATGCTGAAGACAAAGCTTGCCCAGTGCTAGGACCTGGGGACCGCCCTGCAGGGAAAAAGTGCCCCTTAGTGTTTGAGGAGCTTCTTGCTATGGACATCGATGGAACCTGACTCTCTTGCTTTACTTTTCTTCCAGCTGGCTCTGGCAACTGGTGGCAGTGGTGGGGAGAGGGAGAAAGAAAGAGAGAGAGAGAGAAGGAGAGGGAGGGAGGAAGGGAGAGAGGGAGAATGGGTGAGAGGAGAAGGGGAGAGAAGACAGGGAGAGAGGAGGAGAGGGAGAGTGGGTGAGAGGGAGGGAGGAAGGAAGGGGAGGAGTAGGGGGTGTGTGTGTGTGTGTGTGTGTGTGTGTGTGTGTGTGTGTGTGTGTGTGTGTGTGTGTGTGTGTGTGCAGGTGCAGGCTGGGATGTTAAGCTATTTGCCCAGGGTCACACAGCTAGGTAGTGTCTAAGGAAGAACTTGACTTCTGGTCTTCCTGAATCCAAGCCCAGAACTTGAACCATTATATTATGGTGCCTCTAACACAGCAAGTACTTTGTGTATCACACAATGATATGGAATATAATCGCTGCGGAGCAGAGGGGTTCTGGGTTTTTAAGGGAAGGTTTTGGCTTCCTCCTCCAGGTACGGCACACGGGCATGGGGGAAAGAGGGAGGCTAGTTGGAAAGAGCAGAGGCTGGAAGCTACCTTTGCTTACCTAAGGCTTCCTTTCTGTTCATGAGGGTAGGCTACCACAGCCTAGGAAAATGAGGGATTAGGCTCTGCAAAGACATTCCTAGTGGCCTGCTGCATAGTCTTCATCTTTTCTCCCCATCTTCTCCCTGGCCACCCCCACTCTCAGCCCTTGGGCCATCCCTCTGCCTCTGATCCTGGTGCTGCAGGGACCAGACAGGCATAGGGCTATGTTGCCTAGGTTCTGTAGGAGTTATGGGTGCCAGAAAATCACTGCCCAACCTCACAGGCCCTTCTCACAGGGGCCATGTTCCTACCTCCCCACCTAAATCTTATAGGGAGTGAAGCAGATTGGGGAACTGGCCTAAAAGCACTAAATTATACCCCAACCAGTCATTTCTTTAGGCTGAGCTGGCTTTGCCTATTCTATAGTGGGTTAGTTGGGAGAAAACAAGGAACGGATTTAGGAACAGAGATTTAGAACTGGAGGGTCATCTGCTTCTTTTTACAGAAAAGGAAACTGAAACCAGGAGAGAGCTGAAGTGATTGTCCCAAGGCTATAAATGGCAAAGCTAGGATTTGAATCCAGATCTGCTGACTCCAAAGCCACCCCTCTTTCCATGGCATCATGCCCGCTCTCCAGAGTCAACAGTTTAGGAAATCTGCACGAAGAGACCTTGGGAGCAGGGCCTGAGGGCCGGCCAGAGGACAAGAGTTCTTCAAAGGCTCAGACCACTTCTGGTTTCTCTAACTGCCCCCTCAAAAGTAGAAACAGTGTGGATTCCCCACTAGAACATTTGGAACCCCACTGGGGGTGGTGGTGCTTGTGGCTACCTTAGATAGCCATCTGGAAGAGACTTTAGAAGTCATCTAGGCCTTTTACATGGGGCCTCCGTTTTGCATTGAAGGAAACTGAAGCCCAGAGAAGGGTAATGAATTATCCAACATCACACAGCTGCCTAATGGGAAGTGCTGCGACAAGAACCCAGCTCTCCTTACTTCCAGCCCAGTACTGTTTCAACAGTGCCATGCTTGTGCCATGCCGTTTGGGGAGTGTAAGGAGAAGAGAGGGTGTATTGATTGGGAAGGTTGGGGAAAAGGAACTGGCAGAAACCTGGAGCTGAAGATTTTAAGGCAAATTTTTGGGAACAAGAATCTGAACAGCTGTGGTCTGAGCATCAAGGGAGAAATCTCTTGGTATTCAGCCCCTACTCTGGCCTGCCTCTGGTGTCTGACATGACAAATGGTGCTGAGCACAGGAGCTGGTTGTGGTGATGGATGGATGGTTCTAGGGAAGGAAGGAAGGAAGCAGTGAGGGAGGAGCCGGTGCTTGTCCAAGGTCCCCAAGATAGTCCTTAAATCCCTCCCTATTGAAAAGAGGGCTGGATTTGGAGGCAGGGGGCATGAGATCAGATGCTGGCTCTGCTACTTTACCTGGGTGACCTTGGTCAATTCACTCTTGGGGCCTGTTTTCTTGCCAGTAAAACGACGGTGCTGATCTAGATCACCCCTAAGGTTCTCCTGGCGCTTTAATTCTACCCCCAAAACAGTGGTATGGGAGACTGGCCCACTGTCTCCATTCTAGGTTCCACTGCTGGGGGCAGGGTCGGAAGCTGTCAGAGAGGTTGAGGGGAAATAGAGAGCTCTTTATATCTCTCCTCTATGACTCTCTGTCCAAGTTCATTAACATTAATTGGAAAAATAATTAAAAGCCAATACCAAGCTCTGAGTGATTGGCTCCTATTGCTAGGGATAGGGCCTCTGGTATGTAGGGGAGGTGGTTTGTCCCAGGATCACACAGTCACAGGACCCTTTCCCTTACACCACAAGGGTGCAGTACCTCTCCAGGCCTCTCCAAGAGAAGACCAAGGTCAAGGCCTCACTCTGTCAGAGCAGAGGATAGAAAAGCTATTCCAGAGTGTGAAGTCTGGAGGTAGAGACAGTGCCATGGAGTTGATAGTGGACAGATCATTAAACCAATCCACCCACCGCAAAATAAGTTCCCATCTGCAGAGAGGCTGGCTGAACCCTTGCTTCCAGTCAGGACTTCCCATCAAGTTTAGATAGGAGCTGATGGCATTTTTAAAGACCTTCAAGGAAAGCTTGTCCTCAAGTTGCCTCCCCTCAGATGCCACAGGAGCAGCGACGGCTTTCCTTATATCCCCGAGGGGAGCAAGGGAGACCCTAAAGGGACTTTCAGACCTTAAGAGAATCTGAAGTGAGCCAGAGGACAGGGGAAGAAAGTAGATGATAAGATCAAGATTCTAGCAGGTCTGTGTATCTCCCGGAGCTGCATTAAATTAATTCAGTCTTGGGGAGAGATCTCTGGCTCCAGGGCTATGACATTAATTTGATCTCAATCAACAAGCATTTATTAAGTCCTCATATGCCAGGCACCATGCTAAGAGCTAGAGCTGTAAAGGGAAAAAAACGGTTCATAGGGGCAGCTGGTATAGTGGATAGAGCACTGCCACTGGAGTTGGGGAGACCCTACTTCAAATCCAGCCTCAGTCACTTACAAGCTGTATGACCTTGGGCAAGTCACTTAACCTCTGTACACCTCATTTTCCTCAACTGTAAAAATGATGATAATGACAGCACCTACTTCCCACCACGGTTGATGGGATGATCAAATGAGATCTATTTATGAAGTGTTTAGCACAGTGTATAACACATAGTAGATGTGTTACATGCAAGGAGTGTCCAGAGAAGCATTATTTCAAGTCAACCCCCTATTACATACAGTTGGGGAAGCTGGGAGATAATGGGCACAGGCTGACCTTTGCTGGAATGTAGGCCACATGCATTGTCCATTCTACGAGCAGGGATTCCTTTCTATGGCTGTGGACATTGCCTAAGCATCAGTCTTTCAGTCCCCAAAGGGCAACCTTGTCCAAGGAACTGGGACCCCAGCAGCCTAGGGAAGGGACACAGCATGGTCACAGCAGTTTCTCCTTGTAAGCTCAGGTTTCTTCCCCCCCCCCCCTTTTTAGGCAATTGGGGTTAAGTGACTTGCCCAGGGTCACACAGCTAGTAAGTATCAAGTGTTTGGTCTGAGGCTGGATTTGAACTCGGGTCCTCTCGACTTCAGAGCCAGTGCTCTATCCACTCCACCATCTAGCTGCCCTGAGCTCAGGTTTCTCTGCCTCAGTTTCTGCAATACTTCAGAGAAGAATCCTCATCCTTGCATACCCTGATGCTCTGTCTTCAGCTCTTGACTGGTGCTGAGGTTCTTGTTGGGTTGGGGAGAAGAAACTCTGTCCTCAATTCCACTCTGACTTTGGTCTTTGCCTGTTGCTAAGGCTGCTCTTGGCTTCCATACTGTGAGAACAGCTGTGGGGCTGTGGGCCTGGCAAGGTGCCCTTTGCTCACCTTCCGTCACTCAGCAGTGTCTATCCTACTCTGTTACCAACCATCTGTCCTATCCAATAAACCTGAAGCTGCCCCTGTAGCCCTGGAATTATTGGTAAAAGGAGCTCATGCCTCACAACGTTGGGCACCAAAGTGCAGCAGGAGGAGATAATTGCTTTGATGCCTGAATCCCTCATGCCAAGATCACTCTAGTCCCAGGGATGAAGGTGGGCATGAGACAAAGCTCACTCCATTCTGATGCAGCCCCAGGAAGCTGGGTCCAAATTCACAACAAGGCATTTGTACGGAGTGAGATCACTTTCTGCCTTGGCAACTCACTTGGCTCCCAAACACCAGTCAGGCCATCCTCTGAAAACCCCAGTAGGGGCCCATGGTTCTCACGGACTTCAGGAAAAGACCAGCCTTGAGCTCCTTCGGACGGTACCCTAGGAAATGGGGTGGATGCTCGTGTTTCAGTTTTTGCTCTAGAAGAGCAAAAGGAAAGGAATCAGACAACTGAGGATTAGGCAGCTTCCCAGCCCTAGCTTCTGTCACATCTATGCCAAGCCCTTTCACACCTGGAGATGATGGTGTCTGAGTCACTGACGTGAAGTAGGACATTACATGGCAGCTATGCAATACCTCATAGTTTCATGTACTAGACCCTGCCTCATGGCGTTACTCAATTTGCTAGTACCAACTTTGGAACCTGAAACAGTGAGATGGATTAATTTTCTTTGTCCTTTGTGAGGGAATATAATTGGAAAAGGGTCAGTACAGAGGTTTTAATCGAGTTTTCAGCAAACAGCTAGGGAGACATGAGGACAGCCCAGACGGCAGGACAAGCCAGCACCTCATTATTTTTGTCATTGAAGGCACAGATCTCTCCCTGTCCCACCCCATTCTCGAGTGGCAGCCAGAGACAGCATAGGAAGTCACCACACAAGCAGATGGGGAAGGGGCATTTATTTTTCATTTGGCTGGAAAATAATTACATGTAGTGATGAGCTATGAGACAAAACACAAGATGATGGACTGGAAGAAGATAACGTCCAGTTAAGACAATCTAATTCTCAAAAGCACCCCACTGGGCTCAGGCAGCCTGAGACCTGACAGCAGGGGCATATCCACTTCCGGATGGCCCAGTCTTCTTGCTTAAGGCAATTCTCCTTCCCTCACCCTATGCTCCCACAGTCCTCTGGCAGAAGTCTTCTTTCGATCATCTCTACCCTCAAGGACTGGATTTTTTTTTTCCTGACAGGGAGATGTGTGGGATGCAGGTGAGGAGAAATAAAGGGTGCTGAGCAAGGCACTGAAATTAGGTGTGTTGTAGGGAGGGGATCAGGATCCAGCTTGAAGAGAAGCCTCCCCCCCCCCCCCCCCCAACAGAACCCCATTTTCTACATTTGACTGCTTTTGACCCCAGACTACAGGGGTACATAGAACATGAAAATAATCTAGGCCCTACTGTACCTCAGCAGAAAGGACCCAGGCCCTGATGCTGGAGAAGGCACATTTGATGCAAAGTTCATTACAGTCCATATGAAAATGACAGGGCAGCAGCAGTTGTGAATGTGGTGAGTAGAGAAGAGAGGGAAACAACAGTGAGAAGGGGCTGGAATCATGGATGGGGTTAGGCCTCCTTCCAGAAGAGCTTGGCCTTCAGCAAAGGGATGGTACGTGATACAGAATTCTTGTGTCTAGGTGGAGGTGATGGGGCTCCCTCCCATCACCCTGCGTGTTTTTTCCAGTGTTAGCAAAATGGCGAAGGGTGCATCCTCCCTGCTGTGAATCAGCTCAATCCTGGCCTCCCGCAGGACCACCACTGTCCTCCTGGAAGCTGTGATTTCAGCTGCCAGACGTTTCAAGAGTCACCCCAAAGGTGACCAAAGGCACCAAGTGTGTCTGAGATGATTGTCCTTCAGGTGGTCCCAACTTACTCCCCTTCCCAATGCCACACTTAACTTGCTTCAGAGAAACAAGCTCAGGATGCTGGCATGAGGATGCTGGCATGGGGCTGCCGCCAGAACACCCTTGCCCTGCAGGGGGGTACGGCATCTCCTTAACCTGGCATACCTCCAAACCGAAGACTCAGAGATTCCCTTGTCTTTCTTGCCCTTCCTCATTAACCCCGAGGACTTAACAGAGGACTTAAGTCCTATGGGATGTGGGAAAAGATGAAAGGACCCTTTTATTTTCCCTCCCAGGGAACACTAAGGCCCCAGTCAAGGCAGGAGCTCTGGACCTGACTCTAGAACTAGGTCAGTATTTTAGTGACCTCATCTCTACTCAGCATCCACAGCAGAGGTGCCCACAGCTCTGCTCCAGGGACCCTGAGGCTAATCAGCCCTCCTTGTCCTTGTGGCTCCAGGCCCTGCTTGCTTCCCATTATGCTAAGGCAAAAGTGACGTGTGCTTTCACTATATTGGTTTCTTAGCAGTTCAGGAAGCAACACACGTTCTGGGTGAAGGTGAAGCAGGTAGGAGGGGTTAGGGTTGAGGGTTAGCCTCTGCAACAGATCTCTTAAAACAAACACCTGGGTCATCCCACAGCCTAGGTCGGGGTGAATGAGTAGGGAAGCCCCCATTGGGTCTAGTATAAATAAGATGTCACAGTGCCAGCACTGCTTCTAAATTCCACCCAGGGTACCACGCAGGGGACCCAGCAGTCCATGGGGTCTTGGGAGTAGAGAGAGGTAATGGGCATTGTAACAACCATCAGGCTTGGTCACCAGCAATGCCAGTATCTGCCCTGTGGTGGAAGGATAGTGGGCATGGAGGTGGAGGACAGGGGAGGGCCTGCAATCCTGCAGGTGTTGGGAAACGTTCCCACAGTTAAAGCTTTGTCTCACTGAGGATTATGTTGGCCGTGACAAAAAGGAAGCAAGAGAAAGCCCAGACGAGTACGAAGCCCACCCAGAAGGTGCTTCGGAAAGGGGATCTGTGCTTGTTGACGGTACCAGGGCCAAATACGAGCTTCGTGTCTCTCCGGCTGCAGTACACCAGGAAGGCAGGGATGACATACTGAATTCCGTTGCCGGCGTAGGCTCCCGTGATGCCCACGAGGGACTCCAGGTCATGGGTGCAGAAAGCCACAAGGATGGGAGGCACCAGAGTGATGATGGGGAACACAACTCGGTCGACCACCCACGGGTACATCTCCCCCTCGCGGTGGAAGAGCGTCTTCCAGTTGTTGCGCAGAGTCACAGCGATGATGGGGAAATTGGTGCTGATGGTGAAGACGGGGAAGAGACCCAGGAAGAAGCGAACCACCGCCAGGCGCACCACGTCACAGCCGGTGAAGTTGAGGGTGTACATGTCCAAGAGACTGTCACTGTGGAAGCAGAAGATGGCAGTGAAGGAGAGGAGGCTGTAGAAGGCCAGGATCAGCACGTAGTCCAGCAGCACCAGCCGCGTGATGTGCTTCTTGGAGGAGATGGGCGTGACGAGGGATGGCAGCGAATGCTGGCACATGAAAGAGTAGACGCATACCCCAAACAGGTTGCGGATCCCAGAGAAGTCTGCTATGGGGGGATGCCCTTCTCCTTGCCCGTGTCCAATGCGGATCAGTGCCAGGATGATCATGATGGCAAAGGCTGGGGAATGAGAGACACCAGTCAGTCATGACTGAACACCCACTGTGTGCAAACACAGAGCATGGCGCTCCTATTGGGCACGCTGAGGACAGAGGGAAGAGAGCAGGGGCTTGTGCTTGGGCCAGCTCCCACGCACAGAGGGTGGAACCTCGGGACTGGAAGGGACCTCAGAGGCCATTTTATACAACTTCTACCTGAGAAGAATCTCTTCTACAACATTCAGCCTCTGCCAAATGTGGGAGACAGAAAGAGAAAAACGACCAATGTGGAATTAAAATTCATGTAGCTGAGACTCTACCAAAGTGCCGAGTCTCAGCCAGGAGTGGCAGCCTGGGTTCACACATGTCTTCTACCTGGGGCATGGAATCTTTGCTTCAACCAACACCTCAACAAGGATTTAAGTGCCCACTTAGCGGGTGCAGGTGAGGACACACAACATGCACATAAATACGTTTATACAAAACACACCAAAAGCTGGGGGTCGGGGTAAGGGGAGGGGAGGCACCAACAGCACAGCTATGGGGACTAGGAAAGGCTTTGGGTAGAAGCCGAAGGAAACCAAGGATTCCAAGGGTAGAGGGAACCGGAGATTAGCAAAAGGCCAGGATGGCTTGTTCCTAGACCCTGCAGGGGAGACATCACTCCTCTTTGGAGAATGGCAGTAACACAGAGATAGGATGAGCTGAGAGGCGAGAGCAGGCTGCCTCTCACAGGAGGGGGCAGGGAACTCAGATGGGGAGGGGCTGCAGGCTTCCTGTTTACCCTTTAGCAGAGGATCACCAAGCTCACCTATCTCCCCTCCAGGAGCTTTCTTGGTGCTTGGTATTTTAGCCTGCTTAACAAGGAATTACCAGAAATCAAGGTGTATATTCTCCTTTCTCCTGTCTTGGGCTTCTTGATTTTATCTGAGACAGTCCCTGGAGGGCAGAGTTTACTGTCCTTTAGTTAATAATAACAGCTAGCATTCACACAGCACTTCAAGGTTTGCAAAGCTCTTTACATGTTACCTCATTTGGTCCTCAGACGACCCTGTGAGGTAGATGCTACTATTACCCCCATTTTACAAATGAAGAAACTGAGGCAAAAAGAGGTTAAATGACTGGTGCAGGGTCACCCAGCTGGATGAGCCTGAGGGCTAGATTTGAATTCAGCTCTTCTTGCCTCCAAGTCCAGCACCTTATTCACTGTGCTGCCTACCTGCCCACAACAGTTCAGAGGGCACAAGCCACAAACTGATCTAGAAACACGCGGCTGGGAAAGGATGAGGTTGAGGCTCGGACAACGGGGTGCGGACTTACCAAGAATGATGAGGGGCTATCCTAACAACAGAGAGGGGCAGCTGACAGCACAAGCACTTGAACCTCAGCTACTCGCTCTGAGAGTGCAGGGATCTGGGACTTCGGGGACTGCTACCAAATACCAAAGGGAGCACTCCCGGTACTGGGACGGCTAAGGCAAGGGCACAGAGAGGGGAGATGGAGTGTAGCATATGAAGAATGTCAATAAGGTCTGTATGGCTTGTTTCCAAACCCTCCTGGGAAAATGAGAAACGTAGGGGAGGGATTCCTGGAACATCTGCTATTCCCAGGACAAACTGGGTTCAATCTTCATCCAAGAGTTGGCTGACTCCCTTTAGTTACCCCCAGCTTTGATCCTTTAACCCAATCCCCACTAGAAGAAGCTATAGTTGTTAAGATTCATGGGTATTATGGGGCAGCTAGGTTGCACAGTGGATAGAGCTCTGGCCTTGGAGTCAGGAGGACCTAAGTTCCAATGCGACCTCAGACACTTGACATTTACTAGCTATGTAACCCTGGGCAAGTCACTTAACCCCATCACCTCATGAAAAAGCCAAAAAAAAAAAAAAAAAAAATTCATGGGTATTAGATCTAGCCCATGCTATTGTTTAAACAGATTCTTGGCATCTGCAGTCAAATCATTTGGACCCCTCAGAGCACCCTTCTCTGGAAGAAATGTCTACAGTGGCACTGATCAAAATACTTTACAGCAGTGCTCCCTCAACTTTTCAGCTTATGATCCCCTTTCTTTCTATATGAGATCAAACATCCCCTCCTGAATGGGTACCAATTCCTCAAATAATGACAACAATAAAGTTTTCAAAAAACGGAAAGGTTGTTCATGAGAACTGGGCTGAAAATGCCTTCAAGTCTTAGTCGTACTGCCATTGAGAGCTCATGATAGGAGGTTCCCACAGGAAAGACTTAAGAGTCCAACTCCCTGGAAGCACATGTGCCTGGTCCACAGCAGCTGTCTGCATACTCTCATTTCTATCCATGTAATCTTTCTCCAGGAACCAAAAAAACCCCAAGATAAAATTTTCAAAGAGGATCATGGAAGCTTCCCTTATTACTTTCATTATAATTTTTTTTAAATTGGAAGATTGAATTCTTTGTTACAAAAAGTTTTAAATGAATTTTTTTTTGTTTTTATATTTCATTCATTTATATGTATATTTTAGGGTATAATTTATATATACCCCTCCTCTCACACTACCTAATAATAAAGCTTTCCCTTATAATAAAGGTTTCAGTTCACCAAACCTGACACATCCACCAAGTCGGCCTCCCCCTCCCCAACAGAGAAAGAACAAAGGAGATGCTTATCAGCTGGGGAGCAGCTAAACAAACTGCAGTGTGTGCGTGTAAGCAATGATGAATATGAGGAGTACAAGGCGGCGTGAGGACTCGCATGAATTAATGCAGAGGAAAGGAAGGAAAGCCTAGAAAACAACACACGCGATGACTACAAGAGCGTAAGTGGAAAAGCCACCACGCAACAATCGAGGCCAAGAATGTGGCAAAATTCCAACAAAGGAGGGAGGTGCATTTTCTCATCCTCTCCCTGGGCCCAGGCTCTGTCATTCAGTTTCATTTTGTTGTTTTGGTTTATATTGCTGTAATTTCTGGGCATAATGTTTCCTTGGTTCTGCATACTTCATTCTACACACCAGTTTACAGAAGTCGTTCTACGAATCCTCCATCTGCCTCACTTTTTACAGCACAGTATCATTCCACTGCATCTCTGGAGCACAATTTGTCTAGCCATGCCCCAATCGATGGGCACCTACTTCTCTATGACTTTTCATCAAAGGCATCCCAAGTTTCCAATCTCACTTTGTCTATCACTGACAAAGCTAGAAGAAAGAAATGAAGGTGAAGAAGACATTGTGTTGCTGGCGCGCGCGCACGCACACACACACACACACACACACACACTTTTTTCTTCCTCTTGAATTCTGCTCTACCTTCTCTCCCCCCCCACTCATTCTTGGCTCTCCAGAAAAGCAAGCCAGAATACCGGTAACTCTCCCTTGCTCTAAAGAAAACATAAATCTTTACAGTTACTATTCAGTGGAGGGGAAAGAACTGACCTATTTCCTTCCCTTTGACTCTTGGTCGAGGTAGCTGGCTCTAATTTAACCCTTTGCTTAATTCTCCATGGGAGGGTGAGAAACTTCCTGATCTATGAGAAGTCACTCAGTCCTAAACGGTGCACTATGAACATTTTAGTGCAAGGCTTTTTAACCTGGGGTCTGTGAACTCTGCTTTTTAAATTAAAAAAAAAATTTAATTTAATTTAAATAATTATTAACAAACAAGTATTTTTAATTTAGATAATCAAATTATAATTGTTTATTAAATAGAATTATTAAAATTTTATATTATAAAAACATAAGTTGGTTTCCTTTATAATGCTATGTATATTTTATGCATTTAAAAATGTTATTCTGAGGAGGGCTCCATAGGCTTCAAGACACTGCCAAAAGGGTCCAAGACACAAAAAAGAGTTAATCACCCTGGTTCTGGTACAACGACGTCCTCGGTATGTTGGGGTAATCACAATGGAAGGGAGAGGACAGCTGGCATATGTCTTTATGTGATATGATAGGCATGGGATGTGGAAGAAGGTGAGAGTGGACAGATGGCACAGGTGGCTGTATGGACAAAGGAGGAGAAAAGGACTCCACAGCATATGCCCTCAGGTATATCACAGCTTAGAAAACCTTTGGCAAAAATTGGACATATGGGGATAAATGGGCTCCCTGGCCCCTACTGAAACAGACTGTAAAACTCTGGATTGGTTTTAAACACTTGGAACTTTGAGTCTTGCAAATCTCTCCATGTTTAGTTTCAAATAAGTTTCTGTCGAGTTATGAGACATTGAGGGGAAAATAAGGGCAGTTGAATATGGCTGGTCTGTAACAACAATAAACAAAAATTTTCAGGTGTACAAAATACTTTCTTCACAACCACCCTATCAGGTTGGTAGCCAAAGTATTATCATTCCCATTTTACATGAGGCTTCTGGAGGTGAAAGGACATGTCTAGAATAGCAGTCAATCAACAAGCATTTAAGTGTTTCCCAGGTGCCAGGCACAGGGTTTCAGGATACAAAAAATCCAAAAAGGGCAAAAACAGTCCCTGGTCTTCAAGGGGCTCACATTCTAATGGGAGAGACACTCTATAAATAATGGGGCACACACAAGAAGTGCAAAGAGCAAACTGAAGGTGCTCTTCCAGGGGAAGGGGCAGACTGAATGAGGTCCTCTGCCAAAGGCAGGACCTGAGATGATCCTGAAAGGGGCCGGGGAAGCAGAAAGGAAGCAGTGCCTCCGAGGCACAGGAAGAGAGCTAGCTGCAGAAGAGGCCTGCCCAGCTGCACTGCAGAGCCCACGGGAGGAAGGGTAAAAAGAAGGGGAAGGTGGGGAAGGGCGAGGTTACAAAGGGCTTTAAACGTGAAGCAGAGTAGTTTCTGTTTGTTCCTGGAGGTAAGTGGGAATCACCGGGGCTTGCCGAGTAGGGGAAGATGTGGTCACAAAAGCCACTTTGGCAGCTAAGCAGAGGATGGACTGGAGTGGGAGGAGATAAGTCAGGGAGATGAGGGCCTGAAGGGGTGGAGTGACTGTGCAAGTAGAGGGAACGGGTGGAGTACAGGAGAGATGTTGTGAAGACCTGGCTGTGGAGGGGACATGTGGGGTG